GTGCCCATGCCTGCTAGCATCCTTTCACCACGGGTTTGAAACTACTGAGGCCGCATATGTCATAGCCGTCACTCTGCAACGAGGCTCACACTAGTTCTTCGGTTGGAGTGGAAGCTAAACACCTATCTGGACTGAAAAGTGTCATCGCAGGAGAATCTGCCTTGCATGCAAACCAAGACCGGGCGTCCTCCCATTGGGTGGAGCAGATGCATCTCCTGCGTTTCCCATACTGCTTCTCAAGCCTCACTGATAAGTTTCCTACACTGAACCAGAAAAAGCAGCCTGGAAACTTTCATCTTGAAAATGCAGGCCCCGCACAGTGCCACTCAAAATCAATCCATGGGCCACTGAAGGGAAAGAAAGCAAAAGCCAAACAATTGAATTATATGAAAGGAAGACAGAGATTAAAAACAGAAGGATAATGCGCTCAGTGAGTGCAAATTCGATATAAACATATAGTAGACACAATAAACAAAATGATCAGGGAGTTTACAGAAGACATTAATAAAAAGGAAGCCGAGCTCAACAAAATGATACAAAACATGAACAAACAGTTTAGCGAAGAATTAGTCCATGAAATGTTCCCAAACAGAAATCCAGGACACAAAAATGTTACTAAAAGCTTGGGCAATAGAAGTGACCAATGTGAGGACAGAATGTCATAAGTGGAAGACAGGCTTGCTATGGAGACCTGTTTTTCTCTGCATCTATTAAATGTTGCAATCATAAACATAGGTTTAAAAATCATAGTTTTGTAACTATACTCATTAAAGAGACTGGCCTGTAGTTGTCCTTTTGGCCTGGATCCTTGTCTGGCATAAAAATCAAGATAATGCTAGCTTCCCAAAATCACTTTGGGAGTGCTCCATGCCTCTCAGTTTCATTAAAGGGCTTAAACAGAATTTGAGGAAGATGTTTCTTGAAGTTCTTGTAGAGTTCACCATTGAATCTAGCCAGACCTGGGCTTTTCTTAGTTGGTAGTTTTTATTACTGCTTTAATTTTATTGCCTTTTATTGGATTATTCAGGGTTTTTATATCTTCTTGGTTCAGTTTTGGTAAATCATAAATATCTACAGAGTGTTCCTCCGAAGAAAAATACAATGCACATTCTCAGGAGCACATGGAATCTTCTCCAAATTAGACCAGAAATCAATAAATGCAATACCTCACATAAATAAAGGCAAGGACCAAAATCATAAGAACATATGCTTTTAAAAGTCTCTGATCAAATCCAACATCAATTCATGACAAAAACATTGAAACAAATTGGTATAGAAAGGTGTTATCTCTTGCACAGCACCTGCCTGGCAAGTGCAAAGTCCAGCGTTTGATTCCCCTTACCAGAAACAAAAAACAACAAAAA